AACGAGAGTATATGAAACATATCAACATCATAAATACATTTAATCTCACATCGGTTGAATAATAGAAAATTCAAAGTCTTATAATCACCTTTACCCATCTATTATGTAATTTTTTTTCGTTGAGATTAATTTATTTTACCTTCATAAAATCTAAAATTATTTTATTTGAGCTTCATAATCCCAAGTAGTGGCAGCTTATCTATCAATGCTGTTGGGCCTGTCGGCCCAATCCATTTGATTTGGGCTTAAATCTGGGCTTCACCCAACTTGGCAACATAAAAAAATTAATTTGGAAGATCTCAAAGCAAGCATTAATTGCGCAAATTCTTCCAAAATTATCACATATCTAAACAAATCAAGAGTTTCGAAATATCTCTTTATTGTATGGAACAAAGTCCAAAATAAAAACTCAAATGTTTTAGACGATATTTTTCTTTTGTTGCATAAAATATTTATTCCAATTAAGCTTATTTACTTTCCTCTCTTTCTTTTTATTTTCTTTAACATCAATATATATATATATATTTTATGTTGCATAATATATATATATATATATGTAAAAGTTCACATTTTTATAAATTTTCAAAGAGAAAGAGAGAGGTGAACACTCAAGCTATTGAAAACAAAAACTTGCTAAAGGCTTTGCTAAGACTTATCTCAATCTCTTGCTTATCAAAGGTTATGATCTCAGCTGAGAATTGAGGGGTATTTATAGGCCCCAAGAGGATTCAAATTTGGACTCCAAAATTTGAATTCTCTTAGGTTTCCGAGACTAGCGGTGCCACCGCTTGTCGGTGGCGGTGCCACCGCTCAGTCCAGCAGTGCCACCGCTCAGTTCTCGGGTTATGGGTGGTGCCATCGCCAAATCTGGCAGTGCCACCGCCTACACTATTTCAGCTCACTGGTTGGGCTCTAAACTTGGCCCAAACCAGTCCGAACTCGAGCCCAATTGGCCCATACTTGGGTTATAGGATTAACACATAATCCTAACCCTAATTAATATATTAACTACGAATTTAAAGATATTTTCTAAGCTATTACAAAGTCCGTAAGTCAAGACTTCTTCCGGCGAGCTTCCGGTGAACTTCCGGCGGTCTTCCGATAAACTCTCGGAAACCATTCTGTGGACTCCCGGCAAGCTCCTAGACTTCACGATTTGATCTTGACGAGTTCCAACGAGCTTCTTCGGCAAGCTCCAATCTTTCTCGGCGAGCTCCGCGAACTTCCAACGAACCTTTCGGCGAGCTTCCGAAAAACCCTTCGGTAAGCTCCCTACTCATTCTCGGCTAGTTCTGGCAGCATTCTCGACGAACCTTCGGACTTCCGTCGAACTCTCGAACTCGCAACGAATCTTTCGCGCTTGATTCCGACACTTTGTTTCATTTTATGTCTTCGTCGTTATCGTAGTTAATCCTGCACACACAAGCTAAAACTCTACTCCGATCTAGACAATTATTACAACGCGAATTGACATTTTGTTGCTCGGCACATCATTGGTTGGCGCTTCGTCCGATTCTTCAGCGCATCGTCCTCTCTTGCGGCTTGTTGCCCAATCGGTGGTTGACCTCAGCAACCCCGATATCCTTGGCGCAATTCCGCTCTCCTTGGCCTGATGCCCAACGTCCGAAGCCTTCTGCCGTCCAATATCCTGACATGATCTCCTCCGGCGCAACGTCAATTCCCCCTGTGTCAACTATCTAATCCTGATCGAGTAGACCTGTATCACTCAAAACGCAGATTAAATCATAAACACATATCAAGTGTTTTCATCATCAAAATACGAGATTCAACAACGAATGTTCTTATGTTTATAATGAGTTTTTAAAGGATTTTAACCATAATGACATGTATGAATGTTCATAAATATATTTATAATATTGTTTGTGGAAATTTTTACTTGATAACATACTTACTCAACTAAGGGAAAGCTTAATCAGTAGTCAATTCCTATGATGTCTACAAGTTGGAAAGACACATATAAAACATGCAACCAGTAGCTTTATCTTTCTTATGTGGCGAGTGGCTTTACTTTACATGCACAATTTACAAAGACTTCCATCATGATTATTTCAAATGGGGTGAAACGTGGATTCTGTCGTCTCATTTGACCAAAGGAGCATCAATTTACGTGCTAAGCATGTCCAATAAAGCAGAAAAGCAAATCATATAAAATATGTGAGCTGATCTTTGAATGTGACAAAGATTTTCTCAAGCCACACATGTTGATGTCTTTTGTCCACATCCCCTTCCAAACCTAATATTCTATGCTCTCCAACATGTTACATCCTAATACTATCCACCATGACCATTGCTTGATGTCTCAACCACTCCCCCCATGCAATATTTTTTATTCCCACTTTAACTTTATCCAATTGCACAAAACACTCTCATTGTAGGGGCATTTCATTGTACAAGGGGAAGCCTCCAAGGAGAAGGACTTTGGGTGGGGTGGTCATGAGAAAGATGTTTTGGGAACATGCTTCTACCTTTTTGTAGGAAAAGCATGAATTAAAAGGTATTCTATTTCTAAAGCATTTTGGTAAGAGAGTGAGTTTGTTTGTCCTAATGGAAATCCCCATTACAACTAATCTTGCCACTAAGGAAGAAATTAGACTATCTCTTCTACCTTCAATTCATTTAGAGGTCACTCTTAAAAGTACCACAAAATGTTCTTTTGCCAAATGAATCAGACTTTTTTTTTTTTTTTTTTCCATCCATGTGATTCATCTGTTGTTAATCACAATGATAATTTCTTTTTCTTTCTTGTTGCAAAATTAGAAAAAAGAACATACTACTTATCTTTCTCACTGAATTCATTTTGGTGGAAGGAGAAAACTAATCAATATCTGATAGATTTGGGAATCAGAAGTTGGCAATGGCTTCAAAGCTTGCCAAAGTTTCAATGAGATATTGTTGGATTTTGCAATCCATCCACACTTAAATGCATCAACATGTGATATTTCTAGTAATCAAGTATTAAAGAGAAGTAGGAACATTAATTTGGAGGATCATTGTAGCCTATTTTTGTCCTGATGAATGATGCCAAAAATAATATTATATGTTGTTAGCTGATGTTGCTTTCCTCACTTCTTAGTCAGCAGAATATGCAATGTTTTAGGAAGTGACATGGAAAGGTCCATTACCAGCTCCCAGTTTGCTGATCTCAAGACCTTGGCAACTATGCCACTTCCCTTTCTATTAGTCTAATTAGTACTCTTTGGACAAAGTCTGATGCTTGTACAAGCATTGATGTTTAACATATGACTACCCACCATGCATCATCATTCCGTTCATTATTCCCATACTACTCACAGAATGAAGCTTCAGGTCTACATTCTACAAGAACAGCCGAAATCGATTTGCAAGCAAGCAAACAACAAATTTCCTTTGGTTTCTACCAACCATTGATTGTATCATCACAGTTTGTGATGTGTTTAGGTGACATCGACATGAACTGGGAAATGCATGCATCACAACAGTAGGAGGAGCAGTTTTGATTCTTGTAAATGTCGAAGGAGATCTATTCTCCACATCTTTTTGGGGCAACCATCAAAGGAGGATCAAATGGTCCTCTCATTAAAGATATTTTAAGCTTTGCTGAATCTATTTGAGAGATTCACACAGAATTAGAGGAATCTATTTATGTGTGCTAGTCATGCAGTAGTAGGAAATAAATGATGTCCAAGAACAAGGAAACTTGTTGCTAGGAAGTATAACATTGAAGTTGCTAATATGAAACTACTAGCATGCACAACAGATGATCCTTCAAACCAATGATACAGACAAATCATATCGGAGGAACGACTAAAAGTATTCGGTTTAAACCGATATTAGAATGCTCGATACGAACATATATCCTTCGATAACACCAAGAAATAATGATAAACTGGCTCTGTTGATGGATGAACCAGAAATTTTTGATCCACTTGTAACATTTCTAGGGTTCATGAGACCTCAGCTAAGTACGAAACACTCTTCAGACACATTAGGCCACAATAAACATGATTGTGCGATTAACATTGTAGGATGGATAAATTATGCCTCTGATAAGGAGTAGTGATTCATTCATTGTTCATGAATACATATCTAAAGATTACGTTAATAGGTTGATCCAATGCACTTTATCTCGGAGCTCAGAGCTCATTCCTAATTCAATTAAACCACAACACAACCTATTTGGAGAGAACAAACAGATCCTCGCATCCAATAGAGTATATTTTACTACAACTTTGCTGGCAATGGATCGATCGATTAGTGCCCTCTATTAACTCATAAATACTTTGTAATCACACAAAGTCATACTCATTCCATACTGTTGTTACTCATTAGCCTTTACAAGTATTTCTACATGTTAAATATGCTATTTTTATGATTGTTCTTTAACATTTAAGCTTATCTAAAATCTCAAAGCTTGCCTCACTCATCTTTTGATCTGGTCAAAGCACATATGATATGACATACAGTCATACATATGAATATTATGTGATGTATGTATCTATTGGCACTGTGACATCATGCAGCATTTACATGGATGTCATTTAGGTGGATATTAGATTATAAGAGCATAGTAATGCTCAGCACTCAATATATTAAAATTATTGCATCATGGGAATTATTGACTCGGACACATATTGCAGTCTATCATACTAATTTTTTTGTTCAGGCATGTTGAGTGATGGAAAACATATCGATCGAGACATTTTGAGACTTCATAAGAGTGTTTTTACATTCTAAAAGCTAATTCAAAAGGTATGGCATGTGTATGAGAAGAAGGATAAGAGTAAAATATACATGAACAAGAAGGTGTACTGAGTGTTGATAATACGTAAAGAACACAGTCTTATTTCTGATTGGTCGTGTGAGGTTGGCTGCAAGAATCTGAAGTTAATCCAAGTGCTCCAGACAAACCCCAGTTCAGAAGAGAGAAAGAAAAAGAAGGATCCCTTAGAAGGGAGTGAGGAAAGCCAGCAGGCTTTACTTGTTTGTTCTCATGAGGCCCTGCAAGCTGGGACTAGTATCAAAAGCTTGCACACTCTCCCTTCCATCTATCTCTACGAAAAGCCAGGTCCAGCTGAGAGAACCAGCTCAGCCCCTGCTAGGGTTTTGGGGAGGCGGGATGAGGTTTTCCCAGGGTGGGCGGTGAGTTTGCACCATAAAAAGTGGTTCCTTTTGGTAGTATTTGAATGCCTGTTTACTCTTGGGTAGGGAAATCCTCTCCTCCCTGATGGCTATAAATCCTCTTCAGCTCAACCTTGGTCTCTCATCCCTTCTTCCTCCTCCTCTTCGTCTCCTTTCAGAGGCTGTTTGGCCTAGGGTTTTAGATCCAGTGGTGTGGTGTTCCTTTTCTCCATGGGAAGAGTTGTGTTTGTGAGAGAGGAAGAGGAAGGATGAGGAATGGCCTCTTCACTGCCTTCCACCGAGCAAAGTATTGGGTGTCTTTCTTCCATACAGAGCGGAGATCATGGTTGGAAAGAGCACAGGTGAAACGGGTCGTGCCTGGCTCCCTGTATGCCACACATATAGACCAATCCATGGAGTGATTAGCTAGTGTGGGTGGCGTGCAAGGAGCCAAGCATGCCTTTCTCTCTCTCTCTCTCTCTCTCTCTCTCTCTCTCTCTCTCTCTCTCTCTCTCTCTCTCTGTGTATTTGATGTAGCAGTCACTTTGTGTGGTGCTTTAGATTGTATTATATGGAAAATGGAGGTACATATGTGATCACATATTTTAAGTTTGGCTCTTGATGATGGTTTCATTCTTTTGCAGGACTCAAGGGGGCTTGTCACCAAGCTCATGTCAGAGATAGAGAACTAGAGGTTTAGATAAGTGTGATCCTTTGTCATTTGTTTGGGTGAGAGGATGTAAGTGTGATTTAGTCTATGAAACAACATCTTCTTTACTTGTTAGTGATATTTTATAGAAAGAGCATACGATCTTCTGAACGATATAGAAATAGAAGCTGTTTTTGCACTACACCTGTATAGATGAGACCAAAGATTCCGTGACATGTGTTTGTGGAGAAAGTTGTATGATTCTTTCAAGCGTCAGTATGTGTGAGTAAAGGGTAGAGACATTTTTAGTAGTTTTGTCTACAATATTTCATGCCTCTCATCCTTTGTTCCCTTTTTCTTTGTTTGCAATTATTTATGTTGCGCTTTCTGCTTTGTTCGAATCCATGGATTGCATTGTTATTCCTGTATTGGTTTCCAAGTGCAAGTCATTCTCTCTGCTGAGCTTTTCTAGGGTTCGGGTTGATGTGTCAGATCCTTGAGAGATTCTTGGATGGGACTTGAGGTGTGCATCTCTCTCTCACATATGTGATCTCATACATATATGCTATGATACCCTAAAGAACATGTGAGCATCATATGTGATCTCATAGTTGTTCTCCCTCTTTCCGATGATGAGACTGTGCAGATGATATCCATGTCACAGCCATTCATATGCTTTCACTTTTGTTTTCCTGGCACAGATTCATGTATATATGCACATGATTTTATGGTCTATTAGCTACTGAGGACACAAGTCTGGGAGCTCTCATTTCATCTTATGCAGCTGATCACCATGAGATCCAATCCCTCAAAGAGAGAAGAAACTGTAGCTCTTGGGCTTTGATCTCTCACTACTTGGATCCTATATAATTTCCCTACAAGCTCATTGCTTGTGTGCTTTCTGCATTCAATCTGGAGTCATGCATACATCCTTCTCACAATGTCGGCAACAGTTGTAAGTTAGTAGTGATACGAGTACATAGGATTACCTCTGATATGAAAGCTTCGCTAACTTCTCCCCTTGAGAAAAGCTCAACCCGTTGGTCTTCCTTCTCTCTCATTATTTTGCATGGTGGTGCAGGCGAGAGGGGTCCTCGCCACAGGTGCCTCTCCATTGGATTGGAGCCACCAGAATGCGAGGCACTGGTTTTGGTCTGCTCATGCATGGCACTTCACTTTTCTTTTGCCTTGCTTTTGTTGGTGATGGTGCAAGCAAGAAGAGCCCAAGTGTTTTGGCTCCCAGCTTTCTACCCTTCCGAGGACTGAGCAGCTTTGCATGTCACCCAAAAGGAACTCTCAGGTCTCGGGAAAAGAAGCCTATCCAACAAAATCCCCACTTCTGCTGTTCTCAAGTTGTGTATACAAAGATTAAAGATGCTGCCACTATTATACCAAGGGAATATATATATATACATATATATATTATATCTTCACAAATAAATCATGACTGCATGTATAATCTTCTTAGCTATTGTTGAGACATGAATCTTGGGAGTGAGTTAAACTTGCTGTTCCAGTGTTGCCATGGATGCATACCGAATACCAAATGCAGTCTTTGTGACAGCATCTGAGATGGACAGACAGACTTTAGTTAGTCATCGATGGAACACTGTGATTGACTATTCGGTCAGTGCATCAAATGATAGGAGTCGATCATTATGGACAAAGCCAAAAGACAATGTGTGGTTAGCGAGGCCTACTCGCACATGGGTGTACAATAAAAAGGCATGAGAAAGAGGGAGGCTCCATCACAGGAGAGAACTCATAGTCCTTCATTTTGGTTAATGGTTGTAAAGCAGGTGCAACAACCAAGATAGGAAGTACAAAAAGGATTTGATGTGAGTAGAGATGAGCGAGCAGCTAAGTCTAGGTGTTTGTTTCTTCTTGGATTGGCCGGGCAAAGGAGATGAAAAGATTAGGAGACAAGGAGATGGTTTGAAGAGGCTAACTCTTTTCATCTTCGAAACAGTGCGCTGCTTGGCTCTCAACATTCTTTGTCCTTAACAATGTTGAAACAGTAAGCCGAGTCAAAGAAAGATGGAACAACATACCAGGTTGTGATCATCATGGTGATTCCACCACCACATTTGCTTACCGCATCGGCTCAGTGTTACAGACTCCATCAGGAGCTGGAAACTGAGGTGCCACTCCGAACGAGAACGCTCTTGTTGTGTGCTTCACGGAGTCTCATGTAGAGAGAGAGAGAGAGAGAGAGAGAGAGAGAGAGAGAGAGAGAACAGATGTTCACAAACTTGAATGCTTATTTGCCCGGTGGATACATATCTGCCCTTCCCTCTTGCACAGGCTTTTCTCTCAGTTAAGGAACTACCTGCTCATGTCCCTCCTGCCGCTGGTGTTGGTGCAGCCTTAGCATCGAGGACCACCTGAATCCGATGGACCACTGAGCTATATCCAACTCTCCCAGCCCTGTAGATGGATGATGGGCAAGCGCAGATGGGTGTGGTCTTGACAAACAAGGGAGCTTGCAAGCCTGACACATTGAGAGCAATGGAACCATGTCCTCCTGGCCATGGATGCCAGCCTGAGAAGAGAGAACCAACCTGACCTGTGGTCTCTGGCCAAGGCAGAAAAAGCCAGCACCGAGTGATATTAATTGGGTGGATCGAAACCCTAAAGGACTCGGAAAAAGCAAAGGCAAGCAGCAGCCTTCTGATCTACCAGCCAATTGGGCATGTTGAGAGACAGGAACCTAGCTGCACATCCAGGGTGGGAAAAGGACAACAGCAAAAGTACCTTTGGTGTGGAACTAGTGCAGGGCTACTATACCAGCTAACCAGCTACACCCCATGATGCTCATACACATCACATGTACCATCCCTGGAAGAGAAAATGCATCCAAGCAGAAGAAAAAGAAAGAGAGAGAGAGAGAGAGAGAGAGAGAAAAGAAACATGACTGGAAATGGTTGTCCATGTTTCTAGAACATGATTCTCATGTTCTAGGTTGAGCTAACATGAAGAAGCATGGCTGCAGAAACAGATCAACCTCCCTTGTTTGGGCATTCTTCTGCCTCTGGTTGGTGGCACAGTTTTGCAACACCAACAGAAGAACTCTGTGGACAAGGATCCAAAAGCTCAAGGTATGGTTGATGTGGTCCAAACACAGCTATGATTGATTTCCAAATGTATCATAGACAAGCAGCATGCTGCACAATGTATTCAACCAGGTAGGGACTTCTAGCATTCAAATTCCTTATCTATTGCTGCTTCCAATGTCCAATCCACATTTTTATTAGCCCATTTAGCAGCTGCTTTGAGGAATAATAATAATAATAATAATAATAATAATAATAATAATAATAATAATAATAATATTTTTGCAGGTGGGCTTTAGTACAATAGTGAAGTCATCATGTATATATTGATCCTTTGTTTCTTACTTGACCTCATATCATGAACAATCAATCCATAGGGCTGATTCACTCTTCTGCAAATATACCAAGCAGACCAAGATAACATCATTCTATTGATTTTTAAACATTCATTTCTGATCAATAAAATCTCATTTTAATCGAGGAAAAAAAAAAGGATGAATCAGTTAATATAGTAAGAACATGTATTACGAAAATAGATAAAAACAAAAAAATTTATTATTATTAGTGGTACCAAAAGAGGTACAGAAGTCCAAAATTACTCTATTAAAAATTAATAAAAAATAAATATAAATATTTTAAATTTAACTAAAAGCCCTAAATAGTTATGGCATTGTGACGTATTATTATCATAAG